GATGGCCTTAATCAAAATTGAACAGCTTGCGATGTTTAAATATTTTCCTTTCCATATTAAGAGTTTTTCTAGATCTTAATGTTGACAAGATATCTTTGGTGAGATGACCATGGTTAAGGGGAGCACCTAAATATTTTCCCAGATCTGAGGTCAAGCCAATACCAAGTTTTTGGCTGAGTTCAAAAGCCTTGCTAATATGTATGTGGGGAGAGCAGAACACTTTTTATTTATTTAGGTTGATCTTATGACCAATAGGAAGGCTAAATTCACACATGACTACTTTGATCAAATTCATTTGGTTAGCAGAAGCTTCAACAAAGAGGAATAAATCATTTGTAAAGAAAAGATGTGAGATGGCAAGACCTATGGAGGTAAATTTCAAAGGATTCTAGTACTTTATTTCAACAAACCAATTGATGAAATGTCCAATCCTCTCCATGTATAAGACAAATTTCTAGAGATTTAAGGGATCTTCTTGTCTAACTCCCCTTAAGGGTTGAAAAGATTGTGTTTTGTTACCATTCCAAAGAATCTTCAAAGTCGTAGAAGTAATAGAACTCATGATAATATTGATGAAATGATCATTAAACCTAATGGATTCTAATGTTTCTTGGATAAAGTCCTACTTAAGTCTATCAAAGGCCTTTTCCAGATCCATTTTAATGGCAATGTACCCTCTTTTATTCTTCTTTGACCTTATGGTGAGGATGGCTTATTGTGCCAGGATGACATTATCACTACTCTGACTACCGGTAATAAAGCTACATTCATGGGGATCTATAAGGAAATTCACATGACTCCTTAATCTATTAGCCAACACTTCAGTGGCAATTTTGAGGTTGCAGAAAGAGATAGGATAAAATTCCTTCACAATAGTGGGGTTGTCTACTTTCGACAATACGACAATATTAGCATGGTTGATTTCTACCATTTTCCTAGGATTGGAGAAGACTTCTTTAACCATAATATAGATTTTTTTTCTTAACATGATTCCATTGGGTTTAAAAGAAGTGTGATTGTAGGCCATCCGATCTAAGATCTTTGAAATCACCCATAGAGAAGGTCATGTTCTTAATTTCCAGATCAATGACATCATTTTGAATGAAATAAAGAGCCTCAGTGCTCAATATGGGGAAATTTACATTAGGGCATCCCTTATGAGAAGTGCCATCAATGCAGTAAAGATTTTCATCATAATCAAGTGCCATCTCCTTTAAAGAATTATGATTGTGAATCCAAACCCTTTCTTCATTCATGAGATAATTGATTAAGTCTCTCCTCCTTCTAAAGTTAATTGAAGAGTGGAAAAATTTGGTGTTTTTGTCCCCAAATAGAAGCTAATTTTGTCTAGATTTTTGCCACCAAAGAAACTCCTCTTGTGTAATAAGCTTGTTATATTCTTTCTAGAGAGATTGTTCTAATTTGAAAAGGCCAATTTTGTTTTTAGAGCATGTGAGTCTGTCAATTCACTCCAGAATTTTAGGTATATTCTTTTTCTTGAGAGGAATATTACCTAAAGTTTGTTTATTCCATCAGGTAGCATTTGAAGAGAAGGATTGGATTCCCTCTAGCCAATTTCTATCAATCCAAGACTCTTAAAGAACAATGTTGTGGAACCCCTCTTCAATAGACCAGGAAGCATTATAGCTAAAATGCCTCGTGGAAGTTTTCTTGGGAGTGTGACCATAATTAGAGAGGACAACGACACAACGATTAGATTTGCATTTCAAAAGGTAAAAGGCCTTAAGAGTAGGAAATGAATCCACCCAATCATCATTGCAAAATGACCAATCAAACCTCTCCTTGATGCCAAGTCTTTCCTAAGAGAAAAAGTCACCAACAACAAATAGTCTAATAAGTCTGAAGTTGTAGATGTAGAAGTTGAAATCATCTATAGAATGCTAACTTGTTTATATTCAATTTTATAAATAGAGCCCTCTCAGACTTTGAATTTATTTTGCAAACCTAAAGATCTTAAGTGTAATTATCTTTTGATATCAAATGACAAAAATGCTCCTGATTTTTTTTTAAACTATAAAAGGCCCCTAATTTAGAGAAGGGAAATCAGCATGTGCAAAAACCCAAAGGAAAAGGGGACGGAAGCAAAATAGGGCCCACTTAAGCAACATTGTGGTAAACAAGACAAAAAAATATGTATTTATTCTGCAGGCTTACAAACTTTTAAGTGCTATTATCTTTTGAGATCAAATGATGAAAATACCCCTCATTTATTTTATTTTTTTTTAACTTTAAAATGCCCCTAATTTGGAGAAGGGAAATCAGCGTTTACAAGTACAGTCTATCACCCAAAAGCAACGAAAGCAAACTAACGTGAAGAAGAAGGGAAGGATGAAGCGAAAAATCTAACGTCCCCTTTGATGATTTTTTTTTTTTTTTGAAAAATTTATAAACGTTCTCTTTCTCTACCAAAAAAAAATTATAAACATTAAAATATTATAAATTTATGACTTTTCATATATAAGTAAAGAGAAAAACATAATCACTTATTCTTATAATTTCATCAAATTTTACTTTTTTTTCTTATAGTTTTTTAATTATTTTCAATTCTTATAGTTTCAGTAAAATTGTATAACATTTGTTATTTAAATTTCTATAACTTTTGTGTATTGAGTCCTTATAAAAACTAAAAATATTAAAAAAATTAAGAAACTAAAAGTAAATTTAAAATTATAGATATTAATAATTTTGTTTTCTCGAATTAAAATAATGTAATTTTGTGTATTTTTATTCAACTTTAATCTCAGCTTCGTGATTTTGGCTCCAAAAATCCACCTGAGAATCTCTCAATATCAGGGCAGCCAATAGCATCCTGCCATGGCATGATCCCCCAGATACGGACCGGAATCAAAACGTCTTTCTTTGTGCGTTCCACCTTACTTTGTTACCGTTTTTTACATGTCCTTGATAGGAGGAAAAATGTATTTTCGCTTGATAGGAGGAGAAAATAAGAAAGAAAAAATGAGGGAGAAAAAACACACAAGGCACCAAGACACGTATATATTTATACTTCCTTCGATCCTATCTAAAAATCACATTTTAAAAAATTTATTTAATTTTATTTATAAGTCGCGGAATGTTTTTTTTAATAATATTTGAAAAATATTTTTAAAGTTAACCTTTATGAGAAAAAAAATAATATGACATTATTTTCTGATTTTTTTATATAAATACATATTTAAAATTTTACATACTTTTAGTTTTTATATTTTTTTATACTGATATTGATCTGGTTGATAGAAATGACTTGTGAAGAGGATCGGAGAAGTAATATGGGGACCGACATATATAGTTTGTGTTAAGAAGTTGTCTTTAAACAGTGCGAAGAGATTTGAGAGTAAAAAGAACAGGCTGTCTCAGGAATTAGGATAGACCCGGGCAAGTGAAAAAGCGTAAAGGAAGGAAGTTGATGCAAACTGTTGCGCTCATGACTCGGGTTGGTGCTCGCTCCTTCATTTCCAGTTCCCTCGCTTGAATATATATATATATATATATATATATATTTTGGGGTTCGGTTGTTTTTTTTTTTTTTAATATTTGTTGAGCGGACATGTAAATAATAATGGGTAGGATAAAATTGAGTCGGGGCAGGCAGACAAGGGCACAACAACATTTGGTGAAAGGAGATCTAGTTTTGCAGGAACGCGAGGGCAGTGGAGGCCCCCACCCACGCTTGCCGAGCGAGCCAGCCAGCCAGCCGTTCAAAACTGCAAGCATGTACATTCTTCACCTTATTTAACCAATTTCAAATATATATATCCCTTGCTCGCTCGTTCATCACATGAATCTGTCATTCAAAACGAAATTGATCGCTGAGTCTGTGATTTAAGTCAGAGAAATGCGATGAGAAAACAGAATGCTTTGACGCAAGCTCCGAGCTGAGGTGCGCAATAAAAATGGTAAAAATGATTATCGTGTTCAGATGTAGTTAAGAAAATTTCAGAGGATGGCGTACGGCCTAATGCGCGTGGGATGAGGAAAGCGAGAAGGCATCGGTTCCGACTCCAATTAAGTATTTGTTAAATTAAGTATCAGTCGTGATTAGATCTCCATTTTCGTAGCACTATTAATTCATCATCTTTTCTTCTATTGGAATTTTTAATTTTTTGAATTTTTTTTTTATTTAATCCTAGAGCATAGTAGTCTTGTGGTGTTAGATAGCGGGGCTAAGCCTAAACGTTATTGTTTGCAGGCAAATTCACCGTTTTTAATGGATAAAACTTAGTTTTATAAAACTTTAGATCTTAACGGACAAAAATTAAAAAGAAAATTAATCTTTTAAGTCTTCTAACTTTTAAGTCACTTATAACTCAATCTCTCAATTATGACTCGCTGTGACTCAATCCCTCAACTATAACTTGCATATAACTCAATCCCTTAACTTTTGAATCACTTACAAATTAGTCCCTTAACTTTTGTTAATTTTTTTTTCATGTTAACTTATATCTCACATTAATGAATAAGAAGAGGGTATTTTAAAATAATATATGAGCATTTTTTTATCCCTCTTATTTGATAAAAAAAATTTAAAAAAAATTAAAAAATAAGGATTGAGTTATAGGCAAATCAAAAGTTAAGGGATTGAGTTGCAACGAGTTATAGTTGAGGGACTGAGTCGCAGCGAGTCATAGTTGAAGGACTGACTTATAAATGAGTTAAAAGTTGAGGGACTAAAAGATTAATTTTTTTTAAAATTAAATATGGGACCAAATCTGATAATCAAGGCAAATTCACTGTTTTTAATGCTTAGTTTAATTATAATTTTTATGTCCTTCGTAATAAATATTTATTTAATGATTTAGTTTTTCTTTTTTTTTCTTTTGTCCAAAAATGATCCACTTTTTCTTAGAGTAAATTTGATGTCTGAAGTGTGAACTTAATTATTATTTACGAGGAATGAATGACAAAATTTTAATATAGTCTAGTAAGGTATCAATCCCGGCTTCTGAGGTTCACAATGGCCTTGGTAACTGCTCGCCCAAAATGTATCTTTATTCCTTGACGCTTTGCGGTTTTCTCGGCTTCATCCAAAAGCAACAGACACTCTCGCCCATTTTACACATTAAACTTTGCCACCACACTACTCCTCATTATTTTTGCATTTAAAAAAAATGGCTTCGTCTTGTTTCCTTCAAGGCTTAAATTTGTAGCCAATTTCTGCTATTGTTTCATCTTTGGTTATATACGTACTGGTTCTACTTGTTTGCTTCGTCTTCCGATATGTTTGATTCTAGTTATGCTAGAAGCCATACTGCCATCGCTTATCTGTTTCTTGCGGTTATTGTTGCAGAAACTAGCTTTTGCTTCTCTTCTAAGGTAGAATCAAACTGTAACTATTCCGTTCTGGGTTTTGGGGATGATTTAATTTTGGATTGTATGGCAGGTTTATGTAGTATACATGGGAAGCAAAACTGGTGAAGATCCTGATGATATTCTGAAGCAAAACCATCAAATGCTTACTGCTGTTCACAGAGGGAGGTAAGAGCTTATGCTAGTTTTCCCCTTTTCTAAAAGTATCCGTACCCTTCTCCTTTAATTCAGATGCTTGATTTTCTTCGTTCCCTATTTGTAACGTTGAGCAGTGTTGAGGAGGCACATGCTTCTCATGTTTATAGCTACAGACATGGCTTCAAAGGCTTCGCAGCCAAGTTGACTGTTGAACAAGCTTCCCAAATTTCTGGTAATTTCTTTTTATTTCTCTTTCTTTCTACTTTTCAGTTTGTAATTGCTTTGTAAGGCTCGCAAATCAATTGCTTCTGTAATCTAATTTAATGCTGACAGATATGCCCGGAGTAGTCTCTGTTTTCCCCAATTCTAAGAGAATTCTGCACACAACTCATTCCTGGGATTTTATCGGACTTCCAGACGACAAAAGCATGGAGATTTTTGGGCACTCCACCAGAAACCAAGCAAATGTGATAATTGGCTTTATTGATACGGGTGAGCAGCGTTACTAGTTTTAGTAAGATTCTTTATTACTTCTACGAAGCAAACTCCCTTTTCACTAGTTCGTTACAAGTTCATTCAGGCATTCCCATCGGTCCCTTCAAGCATTTCCATGTTTTATTAATTACTTTGATGGTAGAAACTGTGTCTCTTTCCCACTCTCATTTTATCAGTTGTTCCTTAAGAGCAAAGGTTTTTAAAAAATTCAACATCAGAAGACTTTTCTTCTTCCCTTTTGGCAAATTTTATCTTTGCTAATCTTAGTCAAATTGAAAACCCATATGCATTTTTAACTTCTTATTATCAAGTGTTTTAATTAAAACATAATTCAATTTGTTTACAGTTTAGCACTATTAGATCTTTGAAAGGATTTCGCTCATTTATGATAAATGTAATTGTTAAATCGTCTTATGTGGAGAGTTTAATAAATCAAAAGTGAGAGTATTCCATACGTATTGGCGTTTCCTATTTTGCTGTTGATCAAATTACACGACCAAATATTAAGCAGAAAACAAAAACAGAGATATATATATATATATATATATTTAATTAAAGGCTTACTAAAACTGCTCCTTTGTGTGGCAAACCATAATTAATGGTTTGGTGTCAATAAATGAGAAGCACAGTTGATTTAACTCGAATCATGATCACTATTCAAACAGGAATTTGGCCTGAATCCCCAAGTTTTAAAGACTCCAACATGCCTCCAGTGCCATCCGAATGGAAGGGACATTGTCAAACAGGAGAAGCTTTCAATGCTTCATCTTGCAACAGGTTTTTGGTTTGAACTTTATCTTCATCGTTTAATTTTATTGATTTTGGTTTTGTAGTCGTGTTATTTTCATTGGTCGATAATTAATGGCATAGGAAAGTGATTGGAGCTAGATACTATGCCAGTGGATTTGAAGCAGAGGAAGGGCTAGAGAAAAAAGTTTCTTTCAAATCTCCCAGGGATAGCTCTGGCCATGGCAGCCACACCGCCTCAATAGCCGCAGGGTGCCACGTGGCAAACATGAGTTACAAGGGATTAGGAGCTGGAAAAGCTAGGGGAGGGGCACCAATGGCTAGGATTGCTGTGTACAAAACTTGCTGGGACTCAGGATGCTATGACGCAGACTTGCTAGCTGCCTTTGATGATGCCATCCGAGATGGGGTTCACATTCTGTCTCTCTCTCTCGGTCCTGAAGCTCCCCAAGGAGACTATTTCAGTGATGCCATATCTGTGGGGTCGTTTCATGCTGCTAGTCATGGAGTGCTTGTGGTCTCATCGGCTGGGAATAATGGAAACCCTGGTTCTGCTACGAATCTTGCACCATGGATGATCACGGTTGCTGCTAGCTCAACAGACAGGGATTTCATATCTGATATTAGATTAGGAAATGGAGCTAACATCAAGGTAATTCTGATCACTTTACATTGATAGATTTTTTGCTCAGAAATCACTCCATGACAAGTACTGTGTGATTGAAACAGGGTGAGAGTCTGAGTCTCTTGGAAATGAAAGCCAACACAAGGATACTTCCCGCATCTGAAGCCTTCGCAGGGTATTTCACTCCTTATCAATCCAGGTGAAGCACAAGGTTGTTGAAACTTGAAAGTGAGATCTATAGAAAGATTGGTGCAAAATGTTGCCTTAAATATATTTTTTTCCTCTGTTCTGTTTGTTTCTGTAGTTATTGTTTAGACAGTTCCCTGAATGAGTCCAAGGCAAAAGGGAATGTTCTGGTGTGTCAACATGCAGAGAGCTCGACAGAGTCCAAACTAGCAAAGAGTGAGGTGGTGAAACAGGCTGGAGGTGTGGGGATGATACTTATTGATGAGTTGGATCTCAATGTTGCCATCCCATTTGTAATTCCTTCAGCCATCGTTGGAAGGAAAACTGGAGAAATGATTCTGTCCTATGTTAATAGCACACGGTTTGTTTCGAAAACATGGACATTTCTTTTGAGCGCTCTCAGATTCTTTCTCATCTAGCTTTCTATTATGCTGAACAGTAAACCCACTTCAAGGATTTTTAGATCGAAGACAGTGTTTGGTACTCAACCTGCACCCCTTGTGGCAGCGTTTTCTTCTAAAGGTCCCAACTCTTTAACTCCAGAAATTTTGAAGGTAGTATTCTCATTAAAAATGTGTGAAGTGGAGAAATTTATTATGGCTCTTAAATTATTTGGCAAATATCACTTCATATACTTCATTCTTGGAAGACTTGTGAGTTTTGACTTTGCTGCTGCATAGCCTGATGTGACAGCTCCGGGATTGAACATCCTTGCAGCATGGTCTCCAGCTAAAGGAAACATGATGTATAACATTCTCTCTGGAACCTCCATGTCCTGTCCCCATATAACTGGAATTGCAGCCTTAGTCAAAACTGTTCATCCTTCATGGTCTTCATCTGCAATCAAATCAGCCATCATGACAACTGGTATAGCATTATGGTAGTAAAAAGTAATTGTCTTTTTCCTGGGTTCTATATAATCTAATGTTGCGAGTTTCTTCTTAATCTTATTGTTATAAGACTCCTTAGACATTATTGGTGTCTTAGTGAATATTTGGTACGGAAAAATGTTTCCTAGAAAGAAAACAGAATGTATCTAGAAAGAAAATACGATAGGTGCACTTACCATTTTCTTTTCAGAAAACACTTTTCTACCTACCAAACATTGCATAAAAATCACTGAAATTAGGGTGCACATGGGCTGGGCATCACCATAGCCTGTTGCCCAGCTTGACATGCAGTTCAGGCCAGCCTAACGCTCAATTGTTTCTGCCGGGTTTGCCTAACCCAACCAATATTTTTAAAATTATTTAGAAATAATGAAAAATGCTTTTATTTATCAAAGAAAAATATATATATATATACATATATATATATATATATAGTTATCCTCGTTTAAGATACATTTTATATAGAACTTACATTGGGACGAAAGAAGGATTACGGCACATGCTCTCACAGTGCACAAGCTTCACTACTTCCTTTCAGGAAATTAATCATGAGTATGATATGCACAGCTACAACTCTGGATAAACAACACGGACCAATCAGAGCGGATCCTGGACGAAGAAAGGCTAATGCATTTGATTATGGATCAGGCTTTGTGAACCCGGCAAGTGTTCTGAATCCTGGCCTCATCTATGATATAAAGTCAGAAGATTACATAGAGTTCCTTTGCTCACTAAATTACGATGACAAGTCGCTCCGGCTTATTACCAGAGACAACAGCACATGTCATGGCCATAGAAAATTCAAAACTGCCTCTGACCTCAACTATCCATCTATTATAGTGCCCAATCTCAAAGACAACTTTACAGTATCTCGAACTGTGACTAATGTTGGAGAGGCAAGAAGTATATACAAATCTGAAGTGTCTTCTCCTGCTGGAGTTAATGTCACTGTTGTGCCAAACCAGCTTAATTTTGCAAGAGTTGGGCAGAAAATCAAGTTCATGGTGAATTTCAAAGTAGTTGCTCCCTCAAAGGGCTATGAATTTGGCTTCTTGTCTTGGAAGAACAGAAGATCACAGGTCACAAGTCCTCTAGTTGTCCGGGGGGCGCCGGCGAACCTTGGGATGGTTTGGTAACAAATTAACAATTACTTGTTAATATTTGAATTAGCTTAGAATCTTTGTTAATGGTGATCCACATAGTCACTGGAACAAGATTCATGCTGAAATCTTGATGCAGACCACATTTATACAATTGGAACAGCGAAAACTGATGACAGAATATGAAGTTAAACAATGATACATTGATGCCCCTCACTACTACAAGCGTAGAATATGCATATAATTCAAATCTTATGCATTGCAAAAACCATCATATTCCATAACTATTTATAAGATAGGGAGAGAAAAAAAATTTTTATCTTATTTATAAAGCATGTAACTTTTTATTACAAGTTTTCTCTTGTATTTCTATTAAACGTTGGTGAGAAAAAATACATTATTAAAATATCTATATTTAATAAAAATAAAGTTAAAACTTATTAAATTTTTAGAGTATTAATGAGTTTTAAATTTTTTATTAATTTCGAATTTTCAGTAAAATTAAATATGTTAAAGTAACTTGTAAATAATATTAGAGAGAGTATGTTACAAATTTTCATGAGTGATATTAAGTCATTATTCATTCCTCTTGTTAGTATTTTTAACAATCAAATTTTTATTCTGTGAAGTCTTATCCATAACCTTGGCCCAGCCATTTTCCAACCAGTTCTAGGATGGTCTTTGCACAATTAAAAGTAATTAGTGAATAATTTTGCTAAAGCTTTTTTGTGAGAATACGAGTACATGTTTTTTAGGTGTTATCCAGATGATGATATAACGGTTATTAAACATTTGAGATTTAGACTTCCTAACAACATCAAAATGATTTATCTTTAATTAAGTCATTTAAAAATTTGTGGTCTTAATCAAATTACTTAAATGGAGAAATTTATGAATGTTAATATTGCAATAATTGATAATAAATATAACATGAAGCCATCTTACGTGCAAATGTGTGATGTCATAATCATGTAATGTTTTAATCATTATGTCTTAGATATGTTTCTTAAAATGCAATGGTTTTCAAACTTTCAATCGCATCTTGGGTTGGTGATGATGTAATGATTACTTTAATTTTAGAATTAACGAGACGCAGGACTTATCTAAATAAAAAATCTTTTATTTCTTATAAACATGAATTTTTTTGAGAAAATTACATATAGGACCCGTGGAGTAGAATTATTCACAAATAAATCTCATAAAATTCAAAAATCACAGCCAAATCTCTTAGAACCTAAGTATAATTTGAAATTAGATTACAAAGATAATAATACATCTATTAAACATACATTACATCAATCAAATAATTAATTTATAACTCTTTCATCAACAATTTATAAATATAATTTTAATTTTTTACAACTATAACTTCACACATGTAATAATTAAACAATTATGTGTTATTAAAAAAGTTTAACATTAATTATTTACAATAATTTTATCAGTAATTTACAACTATAACTTTAATTTTTTGCAAATGTAACTTCACATAGTCAATAGTTAAACTAATCAATTTAATTATTAGATATATGAAGTTATAGTTATAAAAAGTTAAAATTATAATTATAAATTATTAATAAAATAGTTGTAAATTATTTGATTGATATAATCTATATATATTTAACAGGAAAATATTTTTATTCAAATTTTAAATTACACTCAAGTTTCAAAAGACCTAATTGTAATTTTTGAATTTCGTAAAATTTATTTGTCAATAAATCAACTCTACAGAACCTATATGTTATTTTTTTTTTGGTTTTTTTTAATATATTTAACCATCGAGAGGATGATGCTGGGGTGTGATTAACTGCAACAACACTTATAACTTGCTTAATCACGTAAGTCAATCGTAAGTTACTTATAAAACGGCCATAAGCAATGTCGTAAATATTTTTCGGTACACCATAATAATTGCAAGTATAAAAGATTCAATTTTTGTTTTCAAATCATAAATTATCAGCTTTTAATAATTATTCATTCTAATTCTCAAATTTTATTTTATTTTATTTTTTTTTTTGTAAAATGCTTTACATGATATTGCTTTACATGCCGACGCTCATAAGCCACCCCAGTTCTAATAAGTTTAGAGTTTTTTTTTTAAAAAAAAAAGTTTAGATAAATTGGGTCCCAATGCCTCATCAGAATAAATATATGCTTTTAAGTTTATTTAAAGAGCGCTTACAAAAATACTTACAAATTACTCACTAATAAGGTCTTCACATTAATTTGCTTCTAAAGTAACATTTGATATTATGGAATCTAATAGAATTGTAACGTTATACAATTAGAACGCCAATGAGGAAAAAAATAGGAGTCAAAATAAATAAAAAATATAAGTAGTTTTGTATATCAAAATTTAATGATATTTAGTTCGATTTTAAACGTTTAATTAACTAGCCGCATTAGGTTACAATTACAAACTTGATGTGTGTGTAAAAAAAAGTTCAATAATATTTTTTTGGCCAAACAATAATCAATAAACTTAAAGTTACACATGATTTTGATATATAAGTTAAACTCGATGCATAATTTTTTTTTAAGATCAGGAGTATTACTTCACTAGCAACAGATATTAATATCTCTTAAGATACAAAAGATAAATGATAAATTCCTCTCAATTAAGTTCACTTCATACACGAAAGTCAAAAATCAAATTCTCCACCATTTGTTTTTAGAAATGAGAATATTTATCATTCAATCTAATTCAAGTAAGTAAAATACCATTACGTGTGCAAAAATGAGAGATAAATTTATAAATATATTTTAGTAGGGTGTACTATCAATGCTAATGTTTAGGGTCACAAATGGCCTTTTCAGTGCTCATTCAAAAACAAAAAATTGATCTTTATGCCTTAATGTTGTGAGGTTTCTTGGCTAGTTATATTGTCTTCTTCCAATTTTTACACATACTTTTCCACCACATTACTCTGTTTTTTTTTTTTTTTCACACATTAACATGCAGAAGAAAACGAAAACACTAAGTCAAATAGGCGATTAGGAAACCTCTACATTCTAATAAGAGTGTTAAGAAGTCAAATAGTGATGCTGATATAATTAGGTGAATGAGCTAACCAATCAATGCACTTATTTATCTCTGTAAAAATATAATCATAGGTAGCAATCAAATCCTTCACAATGAAGTCTGTAACATTTCTGATAGTGTTAATAAATAGATTATTCATGGAATATTCATTTTGTACAAGTCTAAAAGCTATTGTCAAATGTCCTATTATTGAAGACTTCGACTCTTTTCATGTCCTTGAGTCTAATACAACCTTAACCCATTGTTTGGATGAGGGAAAAAAAATAAAGATGAAGAAAAATCAAGAAGAAAAACTCTTAAATATAACCAAAAAAAAAAGTTACTATTTCTTTTTTTTTTTCTTTTTTACCGGAAGATTACTATTTCTTTAAATGTCTTCTCTCAATTTTCTCTTCTTATTTCCTTCTGGCTTTTTCCTCCATCTAAACAAAACCTAACTCACAAGCTCAGCATTAGTGTTGGAAAAAAAAGTAGGTTTCTTTTGTAGAGACCCTTAATCCAATTGTCGTTGTGGTCTCAAATAAGGCCCCCAAAAATTGCATGTCATCTTTGGTTAAAAGAGCCATTAACATCTAATCCAACCCAACCAATTTGAGGTAGTCACCATTCAAAGTGTGTGCTCATTTGATTAGTAGCCAATAAGTTCATCTTGGCTTCTAGAATATGAAACAAAAAGTTGACAGAGTTGAAATTCAAAGGGCAAATCCATTGTTCCATGCCAATTCCTTTGCTTCTGATAAAGTTCTGATTTTTTCCCCCAAAAATGAATGGTTTCTAGATTTTAGCCCAAATAGATGGGCCCTATTTTTTCTTTCTTTTTTAATCGTTCGGCTTTCTCAGCTTCTTTGTAGGCAACTTTGACATAGAATTGTCCATCATTAAAAGATCACCAGCGTCCTCGATTGGTAGCCGATTTCCACTATCCTTTCATTGTCCGTTTTACAATAATTACAAGCTGAGGTTCTACTTAGGTGATTCGTCATGTGACCATACATGTTAACACCCTTTTATCCGAACGTTGAGAGTGGACCAATGTTTTGAGACGCAAATTGATCCAGACAGTCGGATCAATCAGACCATCACTCAACTAATTAAAAAAAAAAAAAAAGACAGTTTCATTCATCCATTTAACCTATTTTAATAGTGAGCTTGGGTTGGCTCACTTTGAATTGGATAAGTTTTGACTTGCAAAAACTCAGCCCAAAATATTTGGACCGCTTTGACTTGTTTGTCTTTTTTACTCTCATTTTAGTAATGAAAAGGGTGAAAAACAGAAAAGAACAGAAGTATTAAGAATCTATCTGAGTCACAAGTGAAAAGTAACAAAGGGGTTCAGACTTCAAGCATAAAAGACTTGTCTGATTTCTACAAACGTAATTTTTTATCTTTCAATTTCTAAAGAGCTATACAAACAGCGCCTATTCAGGCATTTTATCATAACAAATGAATTGCTCTATTGGAAGATGAAGACCATATACAAACATTCTAGACAATTGCAATTCATAAAACCTAATTAGGCTGCATCTCTGAAGGATCCACGAGGCCTTCCAACACAACAAGCTGATCCAGCAGTACAAGCTTCTCATCTTCAAGTGTCTTTACCTCGTCTTCAACCTCTTTTAGCTCTCTCCCTAATGCAAAGCTCTCATCTTCCAGCATTAGATACTTTCGCCTCAATGCTCGGTAATCATTTCCAGCCGAAGAGGAGTCTGGCAGTGAATCTGAGTTTGAACCCTCTGGTTTCTGAAAAGTGGGTGATATCTCAGTCATCAAGTTTCTCTTGGAAACCCTGTGTCCTGATTTTAGTGGCAGAGGTGCCTGTGCTTCTTCTTTGACATTATTCCCTTGTAGCTGAAATAAAGATGCTCTCTGGGTTGAGCTCTTCTTCTTACGTGATTTAGGATTCAAGATTTCTTCTGGCACAGGAATCCTTGGATCTTGCATCTCACCAATAGTTACTACAAATTAAGAGAAAAGGGGAGGAAAAGAACACATTTTCTATGAAGTTAGTTTAACAAAAGCACCGCATAAGAATAGGCTGCAAAGTTCAGAGATTATGCTTCATGCTAATCGCCTGCTTTCACTCATTAACATAAAAACTGTCTCCGGATGTCACTGCGTGAATCGTCATCTTCAACTTGGAAGATGAATTTGAACAAAAAATCACTCATGG